ACCAGTTGCTTGCAAGGCTCGCAAATTCGTGGCAGCACCCTCACCGTCGCCACTGCGATCCACATTTTCGGTGACACTATGCATCTTCAAAAGCTCCTCTGCAATCGACAACCTCTGTCGCGAATTGCGCTTCTGTGCTGCCTGCGCTTCAAACTCCAAGAACACGTCAGCTAAATTCGTGCAAGCTTGCCCACCCGGTCCAATGTAGACATACGACGTCTCGCCGGTTTCATCATCAATGCGGGCAACTTTCCGCCAGCCGGCCAAAACCACATCGTCCACACCTGTTCTATGAAAAATCACAGGATCATTGTGGGCGCTCTGTGCATCGACACAATGGAGCACACTGTCACCATACTGTTTTCGCCAAGCAGTAACACAGAAAAAAATTGCTTTCTTCACAAACAGCTTCCAAGTACGATGCGACGCAAACGTCAAATGTTCGTACAAGAGAGGAAAAATCAATTCAGCCGCGCTCTTCCAATGACAACGTCTGTAGGAAGACGACAGGCGGGTCAACGTCTTCATCGTCTCAGAAAACATAACTCCACGACGTCCGGGAATGTGTTCACCTGCATCTTGTGCAGCTTGTTCTGCACGGCTCCTCTCCTCGTTGCGCTCCTCCCGCTCCATTTCCAAGCGCTCAATGCCTGTGCTTCGAACAGTTTCACTCCACAAACACACAACAACGCGAAACCAACAAAAAACGAGCGAAAAACACAGAAGAACAACCAAAACCAAATTCAATCCTGACTTGCATCATCTTGGTCCCGCCTTTGCGCAACTCCTCTAACATTCCAGCCAAGCCAGGACCAGGCTTCGTCGTGTAGCTGTTGATGTAGAACCCGCTATTGATTCCATCCGAAAAAGCGTCACTCACACCGCAGCGAATCGCGCGAACAAACTCGCGCTCGGCAACATCATCTTCTGTTTCTGTTTTGTCCGTTCCCCCAGTGACTGCTTTCTCATGAGCTGCCAGCCAAGCTTTGCGAAAATCTTTGGCCAGCGAACGAGTCCACAACCATGATACTGGCTCAGTGGGAGATCCACCTCGTTCTTCATACTGTCCAGCAGCCCACTCATATTTGGCCATGTAACCCAATTGCTGCGTGAAGCCGACGTGCGGCAAAATGTCGCCCTGCTCTGTCCACAGCTTCATGTCCAAGACTCTTCTCATATCTTGAAGATCCAGATTGTGTCGGCCAGCCACAAGACCACCAAAAGAAGTCTGACATTCGAATGGACTCAGCTGAATTGGGCGTAGACGTCCAGCCATTCCATATTCAACCTCCAATTCACTACCGACATGAACGCAAGGACGTAGGGCCTTGCCTTTCCGTCTGACTCTGCAACCTTCTGTAACATGCACCACATGGTAAAAACCGTGCCGACAAATACGAAATTGGGTAGAGATCTTGTCCGAATACTTGAAGCACGAATCACTGCAAACGTGTCTCAGCAAGGCTGGTAGAAGGTTGTGCAGATCCTGCGAGATTCGTTTTCTACAACTTCACTTTCATGAATTCTTGCCGAATTCTAACACTTGTAACATCGCCATGTCAAATTTGCAAGACGCATCATGACATCGGCAAGCAAAGCGTCTAGTAAGGCAACACGTCGACATGTGAAATTAAAAACATTTCGCATTAAATTGACCAGACACATCAATTACATCGTTGCCTGTCTTCACATCAGACATCGCCATGTTACACATCTGCAAGACATTTTAATCTCTTTGAAAAATCCAACCACATCAAACACATGTGTAAAAGTTATGCGCAGGGCCGCCTGCGCAAATGCCGTCTGCCATGCTCGCGCTTCTTCTTCTGGAGAAGCACCTTCGACCAGCACACTGCGCAAACGATATGCAGGCGTCTGTGCCACTGGCAAGCCATTGATAGGCTGTGTGAAAATGTTCTTGGTTGGATTGGGGGCCTCCTCCACCTGCAGCAACGGTCGGCGCCAGTCATCGTCCTGAGCAGCTTCCAAAAAAGCGTCTTGCTCCGGAGTCCTCTCCAGCATCTCTCGCAACAAGTCCAAGTCACTGCCGCCATCATACTTGGACAAGTTGCGAGCAACCTTCGTGACAGAAACCGGCGTCGAAAGGCTGGCGCCATCAAAGATTCGAGGCGCTGCTTGAACAGACGCATGGGACAACGATTCGAAGCTGGCCACAACCATTTTCATGAAGTGACGTAAGCGATGCTGCAATTCGGCCTTGTTATTCTTCAACATGCTGGCAAGTTGGCCTACCACCTCCAAATGGCCGCATACAAGCCAAACCAAAATATGTGGATGCAAGGAGCCGCGGCCTTGAGCTTCGATTTCACCTCTGAAGGCAAGCACCGGTCCCAGCATTCCAGCGCCAGTAGAAGATGCAGCGGCGCCATCACTGCACCATTCCCGCGAGACCGTGCGGACCCCACCTCTGCGACAATCCAACGTTTCTGGTCGCACATTCAAAACATGTTGGAAAAATAATCGCATCAAGAACTCAAACTGTACCGTTTGTGCTACAGGATCTTGTGCAATCTTTCGCAGCATGTCTCTGTACTTCGGCAAAGAGGGGTCCATTTCCTGATCCACGGACCCAAGATCCACCTCTTCGCCTTGTACAACCAGCAGCAATGGATGCTGCGTGTCCGCCCGATTGGGCGTCAAAAAAATGAGCGGCGGCCCAAAAGTCTCCATGTAGGCGACCCTTCGTGCCGGCACTGCCTGCGATGACCATCGGTACCCAAGACCGTAGCCGATGCGCTTTGCATCGCTTGCAGAGCATCCTTGACAGTTTTTGGCACACTAGTGTTTTGCAACAATTGCTGCATAGAATCACCAGAGGAAGGATCTACCACCCGTGCCGCAGATGCCAAATCATCTGCTTTCAGAGCACTCAAAGTCTTGGCAAAGGCCATGCCACCATTCCGCAAAAATTGGTATGAAGCATTGCGCTGATCTGTCAAGCGACAAACAGTGGACATCATGTGCAACGCAATCCAATCACCACTGAAACGGTTACTCATTGCAGGAGCAACATCATCGCCGTCAACAGCATACTGCAACTCCTGCCATGTCGACAGCACACCGCCCCAAACACAAACCTCAATAATTCACCTACAACCACTCCGACATCTGTTTGTTACTGTGCTCTGACAGCGGTATGTTAATTACCTGCAATAAAACTACCGGATACTTCACAGTGTCACATTTGCAAGACGCATCAATGACACCATACACGCATATCCATTTGTCAAACGAAACAACAAAACCAAAAGCTTAGCCCCGTGCCTCTCGGAGCAAAAGACACGCCGCCCATTCTCGGGTGGACAGTGCTTCCTCACGATCAAATAAATTGCCAGCGTCACCATATCTCCAAAGCTTCGGTTTGGCCATCGTCCAAATCTTCCAGTCAAACAAACTCAGCGGCTTCTTCCCGCGAGCTACCAACAAATGCTTCGCAGCACGTCCAGAATCTGCATCTTCCTCAACCGGTTCTTCATTTGAAGTTTCGGACGGTAACAGCCAACGCGACCTGCCCATGACAGCATCTCTCAACTCCAGCTCCAACTTCCTGCGCGCATCGGCAGCAGATAGTTTCCGACAGGTTTCCTGCACTTCGTCACAGAGTTGCAAGATCCGTTGACGACCAAGATGATCAACCAGCGTTGTATCTTCTCCCATCAATGTAGCAAGCTCGACTGATACCGACCGAGCACCGGCCGATTCGAGTTCATCAATTTTCTCTAACAAGGACACAATCTTGCTGCTGACATCAGTTTTTTCTTCATTGAAATCTTTCACTTCCGATTCCATGGCAAACACTGTTTCATCTTGCTGCACCGGCACGTGCTCAGCTGTGGCGTCCGCCGGCCCTTCTTGTCTCATCATGCCAGGGCCATCTTCACCAACAGGAACCGTCACCACACAATCCAGAACCACCGGTGGAACTGCCTCTTCTGCATCTTGCAACCATTCCGTGAGCAGCTCTCGATTGATTTCAGCCACGCCGGCAGCATAGACGCCATTAGTTTTCTGAAGCGCTTCAGCTTGCTCAAGAAACAAAGCCTTCTTCAACCGCAACTCCACAATCTTGCTGACGGCTGCTCGACCAGCTTCTTGGCCTTCGTGCGGCAAATCTGTGCAGAAGGTGATAGCCATAGCGTCGTTGAGCTGCCGAGGAGGCAAAGATTCCACTGCATGCCTGGCATCTCCATTGTGAAACAAGACAGATGATCCGACATAACCACTCTGGTGAAAAGCAGCATCCCACTGATTGCCATTGCTGGAACCGTTCTGCTGTGCTCCGCCAGCTCGGAGGACAACTTTGGTCGCCACAGTTCTGGCTAGAGCAAGGCACATCTCGTGGGTCATGTTGGCCTGCGAAAGAAGTGGATCAGGCCGCCCAAGCCAAAGATCGTTGGCCAGCGAAAACTTGCACAGCTTGGGTTGCTTTGGGGAAAATGCATAATAACAATCTCGACAAACAGATGCAGGACAGTTGCCGCAAGCCATGTCACCGTCCACCCGACGCTTGTGCAATAGCACTTGCACTTTCTGTCCGAAGCTGTCGGATACTGACACGCTACTGGCCAATAATTCTGATTCTGGTATCAAAGGCCATCGTTGCTTGTAGCGTTCCACTGATAAGAACTTCCAGACAGCGTCAGGATTCAGCATAAAACATTGCTGTCCTGCGAGGAAGACTTCCAAGAGGTCTTCTTTCCAAAAAGATCGGGCACAAAAGCAACAGCCCAGGCGGCGACGAAGTGAAACATCGTCCGCGCCGTCCCAATCTATTCTGGCCTCTCGCAGAAAGGTTGCATAGTTGCGAACATACTGACGAACCTCACTGGCAACAACCACGTGAGGAGACAAAGATTCCAACATGAGCATAGCATTTCTATACCGCTGCAAGCCGCCATGTTTGTCGTCAATATGTTGTAACAGTGCAGAACGATCACCAAAATCAGCTTCGCACAACAAGCAAGGCTGCTGGGACATGCTCACGGCCATTTCCGGCCATTCGCGCAGTTGTTCTTCCACTGCGGCTCGGAAAAGTCCATGGTTGGCCTTGAAGCGATTGAATGGGTGATCTTCCTCTGCCCAAGGGTCCTGTCTGCTACCATCCATGTTTCCAGCGCCAGCACTACCAAAAGCAGTTCTTTGCCGCCTGCGGCTGTCAAGACACTGTTGCTTTCTTCCAGTACGCTGTTGCGTTCTTCCAGTTTATGTCGTTCTTCCATGTCGCGTTCTTCCAGTACGCTGTTGCGTTCTTCCACTACGCTGTTGCGTTCTTCCAGTTTCATGTCGTGTTCTTCCAGTTTCATGTCGCGTTCTTCCAGTACGCTGTTGCGTTCTTCCAGTACGCTGTTGTTGCTGCTTTCTCCCAGTTCGTTTCCTCACATCTCTCTTGCGTCTCTTGGCCACCCTCTCCGGCAAAGCGCCATCTGCAGAAAGTTTCCGTTTGCGACGCCTTTGGCGTTCCTGTCGGCGCAATCGTTCGCCCAAAGCAAAACGGCCTACATAGCCCATGTGATCCAGGCAACGATGTGATTCAGCACTTCGGCAAGGCTCATCATGTCCAGATTTTGTAGCACGAGCTGCCTCCAAGACAGCCCGTGACAAATGCGAGGGCAAACATCGTAGTCGTGCAATATTGCCTGCCGGCGTCAAAACAAGCGGTGCCAAAAGACTTCGTCTTCGATACTTTTCCAAAAAAATCAAAGTTGGCCAAATCCTGGACACATCAGCAGGACCAGTGACAATGGAATCATCGCATTTCCACCATCGTCCACCGCATCGCACGAAGGCAATGAAGTGTCCATTCACATGTTGTACAAAGCCGGACACCAAGTACTTCGATCCCTGCACCAGCGTTCAAATAAAAACATTCCGAAGGGAACTTCAACAGAGTACATCCAAACGTGAACCAACGAGATTAAGCATCTCTAAGTACATCCAAACACGAACCTCAACAAACATGAACCTGAATCATTTCCACGCACACACGCCTGAAGAACGACTGGAGAAATAAGCAATTGGGACCAATTCATAGAAGCTCCAGGAAATTGATGCAATTGTAGGATCACAACCTCTGCTGTTGGCCAGCTGCCGTGTCCTAAATTTTTCTGCATCACCTCCTCCACAGTGACAGCTCGTTCCGACACATCCCCAGGCAAATCCACCATAAACCGGAGCTGCTCTTCTGGCTGTCCTTCACAACACACCCATTTCAGAGAGCAGTTTTTAAATTCTGCGGGGGCAGTATTTATGCACTAACAAAACTCATCCACGAAACAAAGAAACATGCCAGGGAACAGTCTGTATTTTCTCCGGGGGCGGTCTTCACTTTGTAACAGCAAACCGTTATCTTTTGATGCCAAAATCCTACATCATATCCCCTTGATCCCATACCCTTGACTCCATGTCCTGTGTCTGTGCCCCTTGGCGCCACCAGGGAATGCTGGGACAACGTCTTCTCCAGCAACAGTGCCACCGCATCAGCCGCGTCAGCGCTCTCACCCGCAGGGAAGAGATCCGCCCGGGTCAAGTACATTTGATGCAGCAATTCAAAAGGAGCCACATAATCAAAATCTCTGCTGCGTAACTTGACCAGCGTCGCTGTCATCCAATGCCTCAGCGGACCTTTCTCGCACGTCTGGTCCAAAAGATCTCTAGCCAACGGGCCACAATGGAGAAAACATTGCAAAATTGAATTGAGCCAACAGCTGTTCCCCAAATTTCTCAATCCACTGATGGGAGCAGCATTGTCGAAGCCGCTGGTACCCAGCGGACGGCTGCCCGAATCCAAGCGCCACTGCCGGCCCATGTCGCGCAACCAACGCGCATCGATTCTCGAAGCAAGGCTCTCTGCCAACTGATATTCAGACACTAGCAGCTCGCACGCACGCATGACACCAGCATTTTCACGCTTGCTCGCCTCGCTTCTGTATCTTTCACGCTGTCTGCGTGGCAAAGCAGAAGGGTTCAGCTGACCCAGGCAGACCTTCAAATGCTGCAATGGGAAATCGTCTGACAATCCACTCCCGTCTTCAGTCAATTGTCGCAAAACGCGATCCACTTCCTGCTGGGACACCTGCAATGCATCCGCCACACGACGGGCATCGTCCTCAGCAGCAGATTTGTCTCTTCTGGTGAGGCCATAGCGCCGGTTCTCTTTGGTTCCACACCGGACACGCCAACCACTGCTATGTCTCTCCACCATGACTATTTGGTCATGTGCATCGCCGACACCTTCTGTTGTCAGGTGTCGAAAGACTCGATCAGCTTCCTGCAGGGATACCCGGAAGGCATCTGCCACACGCCGGACATCTTCTTCCGCCGCGGCTTTATCCCTTCTCGTGGGACCATAACGCCTATCGCTTTTTGTCCCAAATCGAAGACGCCAGCCAGTGCTGCGTCGCTCTACTGTGGGCATCTTCTCTTGTGCGTTAGTCGTTGCCAGATTCCTACATCTCTCTCGCAGCGCTTCCACGGAAACGGCTGACGCTTCATCGAGAATTCTAGAATCCTCTTCCGCAGCTTGCACGCTTTGACGCAGAGGGCCAATGAACCATTGACCAGCATGCTTCTTGCGCGCACGCCAACCATTGCTGTGGCTTTGCACGGGCATGGTTTGCTACACATGTCATGCAATTTTGACATGTGACATATCACTGAAATTCCTTTTGTCTTGCTTGTTTCCCTACATGGATAACTATAAGATATGAAAATCAAATGAATAAAACATTGAATTTTGGTAAAACCTTCCAAGCACAATCGGCAAGTAGCTTCGAGTGCTGGAAAGTTTCCAAAATTGTTCCGCGGAACAGCTACTGTGACAACCTTTCTTACTTCTTTCCGTCCGTTGCTATTTTAATACTATGTGTTCAGCTGCAGTATGAAATTAAATATGCGTGCGTAAATATAAAGGCGTAAACAAACGCTTGCCGTCTAAAGCCGAAAGCACAAGGGTAATGCGTGATACGGCTACAACAACAGCATGTCCAAACATGACAACAAGTGAAAAGACACTGTCGAACTGTCCGAACCAAGTCGAAAACAATATGCACAGAGACACACCGAAACAATTCAGAGGTCTTCTTTCCAAAAAGATCGGGCACAAAAGCAACAGCCCAGGCGGCGACGAAGTGAAACATCGTCCGCGCCGTCCCAATCTATTCTGGCCTCTCGCAGAAAGGTTGCATAGTTGCGAACATACTGACGAACCTCACTGGCAACAACCACGTGAGGAGACAAAGATTCCAACATGAGCATAGCATTTCTATACCGCTGCAAGCCGCCATGTTTGTCGTCAATATGTTGTAACAGTGCAGAACGATCACCAAAATCAGCTTCGCACAACAAGCAAGGCTGCTGGGACATGCTCACGGCCATTTCCGGCCATTCGCGCAGTTGTTCTTCCACTGCGGCTCGGAAAAGTCCATGGTTGGCCTTGAAGCGATTGAATGGGTGATCTTCCTCTGCCCAAGGGTCCTGTCTGCTACCATCCATGTTTCCAGCGCCAGCACTACCAAAAGCAGTTCTTTGCCGCCTGCGGTTGTCAAGACACTGTTGCTTTCTTCCAGTACGCTGTTGCGTTCTTCCAGTTTCATGTCGTGTTCTTCCAGTTTCATGTCGCGTTCTTCCAGTACGCTGTTGCGTTCTTCCAGTACGCTGTTGCGTTCTTCCAGTTTCATGTCGTGTTCTTCCAGTTTCATGTCGCGTTCTTCCAGTACGCTGTTGCGTTCTTCCAGTACGCTGTTGTTGCTGTTTTCTTCCAGTTCGTTTCCTCACATCTCTCTTGCGTCTCTTTGCCACCCTATCCAGCAAAGCGCCATCTGCAGAAAGTTTCCGTTTGCGACACCTTTGGCGTTCCTGTCGGCGCAATCGTTCGCCCAAAGCAAAACGGCCTACATAGCCCATGTGATCCAGGCAACGATGTGATTCAGCACTTCGGCAAGGCTCATCATGTCCAGATTTTGTAGCACGAGCTGCCTCCAAGACAGCCCGTGACAAATGCGAGGGCAAACATCGTAGTCGTGCAATATTGCCTGCCGGCGTCAAAACAAGCGGTGCCAAAAGACTTCGTCTTCGATACTTTTCCAAAAAAAAATCAAAGTTGGCCAAATCCTGGACACATCAGCAGGACCAGTGACAATGGAATCATCGCATTTCCACCATCGTCCACCGCATCGCACGAAGGCAATGAAGTGTCCATTCACATGTTGTACAAAGCCGGACACCAAGTACTTCGATCCCCGCACCAGCGTTCAAATAAAAACATTCCGAAGGGAACTTCAACAGAGTACATCCAAACGTGAACCAACGAGATTAAGCATCTCTAAGTACATCCAAACACGAACCTCAACAAACATGAACCTGAATCATTTCCACGCACACACGCCTGAAGAACGACTGGAGAAATAAGCAATTGGGACCAATTCATAGAAGCTCCAGGAAATTGATGCAATTGTAGGATCACAACCTCTGCTGTTGGCCAGCTGCCGTGTCCTAAATTTTTCTGCATCACCTCCTCCACAGTGACAGCTCGTTCCGACACATCCCCAGGCAAATCCACCATAAACCGGAGCTGCTCTTCTGGCTGTCCTTCACAACACACCCATTTCAGAGAGCAGTTTTTAAATTCTGCGGGGGCAGTATTTATGCACTAACAAAACTCATCCACGAAACAAAGAAACATGCCAGGGAACAGTCTTTATTTTCTCCGGGGGCGGTCTTCACTTTGTAACAGCAAACCGTTATCTTTTGATGCCAAAATCCTACATCATATCCCCTTGATCCCATACCCTTGACTCCATGTCCTGTGTCTGTGCCCCTTGGCGCCACCAGGGAATGCTGGGACAACGTCTTCTCCAGCAACAGTGCCACCGCATCAGCCGCGTCAGCGCTCTCACCCGCAGGGAAGAGATCCGCCCGGGTCAAGTACATTTGATGCAGCAATTCAAAAGGAGCCACATAATCAAAATCTCTGCTGCGTAACTTGACCAGCGTCGCTGTCATCCAGTGCCTCAGCGGACCTTTCTCGCACGTCTGGTCCAAAAGATCTCTAGCCAACGGGCCACAATGGAGAAAACATTGCAAAATTGAGTTGAGCCAACAGCTGTTCCCCAAATTTCTCAATCCACTGATGGGAGCAGCATTGTTGAAGCCGCTGGTACCCAGCGGACGGCTGCCCGAATCCAAGCGCCGCTGCCGGCCCATGTCGCGCAACCAACGCGCATCGATTCTCGAAGCAAGGCTCTCTGCCAACTGATATTCAGACACTAGCAGCTCGCACGCACACATGACACCAGCATTTTCACGCTTGCTCGCCTCGCTTCTGTATCTTTCACGCTGTCTGCGTGGCAAAGCAGAAGGGTTCAGCTGACCCAGGCAGACCTTCAAATGCTGCAATGGGAAATCGTCTGACAATCCACTCCCGTCTTCAGTCAATTGTCGCAAAACGCGATCCACTTCCTGCTGGGACACCTGCAATGCATCCGCCACACGACGGGCATCGTCCTCAGCAGCAGATTTGTCTCTTCTGGTGAGGCCATAGCGCCGGTTCTCTTTGGTGCCACACCGGACACCCCAACCACTGCTATGTCTCTCCACCATGACTATTTGGTCATGTGCATCGCCGACACCTTCTGTTGTCAGGTGTCGAAAGACTCGATCAGCTTCCTGCAGGGATACCCGGAAGGCATCTGCCACACGCCGGACATCTTCTTCCGCCGCGGCTTTATCCCTTCTCGTGGGACCATAACGCCTATCGCTTTTTGTCCCAAATCGAAGACGCCAGCCAGTGCTGCGTCGCTCTACTGTGGGCATCTTCTCTTGCGCGTTAGTCGTTGCCAGATTCCTACATCTCTCTCGCAGCGCTTCCACGGAAACGGCTGACGCTTCATCGAGAATTCTAGAATCCTCTTCCGCAGCTTGCACGCTTTGACGCAGAGGGCCAATGAACCATTGACCAGCATGCTTCTTGCGCGCACGCCAACCATTGCTGTGGCTTTGCACGGGCATGGTTTGCTACACATGTCATGCAATTTTGACATGTGACATATCACTGAAATTCCTTTTGTCTTGCTTGTTTCCCTACATGGATAACTATAAGATATGAAAATCAAATGAATAAAACATTGAATTTTGGTAAAACCTTCCAAGCACAATCGGCAAGTAGCTTCGAGTGCTGGAAAGTTTCCAAAATTGTTCCGCGGAACAGCTACTGTGACAACCTTTCTTACTTCTTTCCGTCCGTTGCTATTTTAATACTATGTGTTCAGCTGCAGTATGAAATTAAATATGCGTGCGTAAATATAAAGGCGTAAACAAACGCTTGCCGTCTAAAGCCGAAAGCACAAGGGTAATGCGTGATACGGCTACAACAACAGCATGTCCAAACATGACAACAAGTGAAAAGACACTGTCGAACTGTCCGAACCAAGTCGAAAACAATATGCACAGAGACACACCGAAGCAATTCAGAAGCCTCATCATGTCAACCGCTGTGCTCGGCAGGTGCGCTATCTGGCAAGGCACTTTGGTTTCTATTCTGTGCACGTCAAACATGTTGCAAACAGGCCAAGCTATGGCAAGGCACTTTGGTTTCTATTCTGTGCACGTCAAACATGTTGCAAACAGGCCAAGCTATTTTTCGCAGTCTGACACACGTCAAACAGGCCGCCTGAAGGCCACAAATTGATCAGCGCATGATATCCGATCCGATTCGAGAAGAAGAGTCAAAGCGGCGAGCCAAAAATGCTAGCTAAAACATGGCAGGGTGACGAATGGCGTAAGCCATGTATATCAAACACGCCAGGCCGACGTCAAAACATGCCACCTGAAAGCCAAAAATGCTAGCTAAAACATGGCAGGGTGACGAATGGCGTAAGCCATGTATATCAAACACGCCAGGCCGACGTCAAAACATGCCACCTGAAAGCCAAAAATGCTAGCTAAAACATGGCAGGGTGACGAATGGCGTAAGCCATGTATATCAAACACGCCAGGCCGACGTCAAAACATGCCACCTGAAAGCCAAAAAATGCTAGCTAAAACACGGCAGGGTGACGAATGGCGTAAGCCATGTATATCAAACACGCCAGACCGACGTCAAAACATGCCACCTAAAAGCCAAAAATGCTAGCTAAAACATGGCAGGGTGACGAATGGCGTAAGCCATGTATATCAAACACGCCAGGTCGACGTCAAAACATGCCACCTGAAAGCCAAAAATGCTAGCTAAAACATGGCAGGGTGACGAATGGCATCAGCCATGTATATCAAACACGCCAGGCCGACGTCAAAACATGCCACCTGAAAGCCAAAAATGCTAGCTAAAACATAGCAGGGAGACGAATGGCGTAAGCCATGTATATCAAACATGCCAGGCCGACGTCTATCTATCTATCTTTCTTTCTATCTATCTAGCTATCTATCTTTCTATCTATCTATCTATTTAGCTAGCTATCTATCTATCTAGCCAGCTAGCTATCTATCTATCTATCGATCTATCTATCTATCCATCTATCTCTCTCTCTCTCTATGTATTTATCTGCAGGCCGAAAAGGCCAGGTAAAAAAAGACAGGGCGACGAATGGCGTAAGCA